CCTTGTCTTATCTGCAAGCCATGCTTAGCATAATTTTATATTGTTGAATCATTAACGGCACCTTAATTACTTCTTTGAAGCAGAAGCTCACACTTTTTAAATAATATACAGAGACAGCAAATACAATTTTTAATATCCTTAATCTTTTCTTCCCTACACCCATAGGGAATTTAATTATAATTATTACAACTATAATTTGATAGTTGGCAGAGTCCATCTTTAGAATGGCACATTATCAAACAACAAATTATCTTAACTATTTGAATAAAATTCATAATTTTGCCCAATCCTTTTCATTGCTGTTTTTTCTCTCCTTCCTGTTTAAAAAAAAGTTAGAAATTATATGTGCATTTTGCTGACAGATCTTATTATTCCTATCTTTTATAAGTGGCTAGTAGAATGTTCATGTACTTCTAATGTTCATTTTTGTACTTGCGTCAGAATTACTGAACTGTAACCTCTGAAGCAAAATAACACAATTTCCAAAGGCTAAACACAATTTGCATATTATGCAGGTATTGTGGGCAGGAGCATCTGCAAGGGGGGGGCAAAAGGGTTAGGAGATGTAAGCATTTCCCCCTTTTGTATGTTCCATCACAATGTATGAAAAGGGTGAACTTTGCAGTAAAACGCCTGCTTTCGTCATTTTGACAAAAGTATCAGATTCTGCAGAGGTCTCTGACTGTAGGCACATTCACACAAAAGATTAAATTACTCAGGCAGTGTAACACGAGCATGCGCCATGGATACAAATTCAGGCTAATGTTAACCGGAAATAGTGGCTGCTTCAAAATGGTCAGGAAACTTAACAGAAAAGCCACAAATTGGTGCTAGGGAGTTGCATGGAAATGACCCTAGATGTTCATATTAAATAGCCCAACTGGTTTTATCATATCTGCATCCATGTTTAGCATCCAGTGTTCTTGGTTAAGGTCCGGTCTCCTACATTAAAATGTTTTTTTTAAAATCTTTTAAACCTGTAAGCCACCCATCCCACCTGCAGCAACCTTGGGTAGCTTATAGACATTCAACTAAAATGCACTATAAAAAAATTAATAAAATAAGGATCATAAATTTAAAATTCAAATAAAATTAAATTCAAATAAAACTAACCAGAATGGAGAGGGGGGAGCAAAGTGTATACAGGGAGGGCAGTGGGTGTTACCTGCTCCATTAGCCACCTCCAAAGTACTATATCCCCAATGGGACCCCAGGCTGCTTGGCAAAGCCATATCTTCAAGGCCTTTTGGAAGGCCAAAACAATCCACTTCAGGGGGCATGATGTTCCAGAGGGTGGGAGCCATAGCAGAAAAGGCTCTTCTTCTGGATTTTGCCAGCCCCAAATCCTTGGCTGACAGAGTCTGTGGCATAACCCATCTGCCATTGTGACTGTGGTGGAGCACTCCCATTGGGAATATATTCTTATACTCTTTTTAAAGCATGGAATCATTTCAATAAAATTAAAAGCTCTGTTCTTAGAATTTTTAAAAAAGAATCTTAATTAGGGCACTGAAATTATGACAGGGAAGATTTTTTAGTAATACATTCTCTAACACGAAGCCCAGAGTAAATATTGAGGTTTTATGCTGATGATGAATCTATTTAGAAATCCCAAGGTGCAAAATGCATTGTATTTGCACTATATGTATATGCATCTCTTGCATGCACACATGTATTTCCGATGTAACCACTTTGTTTCTATCTAGCCTCTTTGCTTCTTAAGTAATTGTCTAATTTCATTTTGTAAGCATCTTGTACATTCTGTCTTGATCTGCCATCCAAAATGTAATAAATCAAAGTAAGTGCATTAGACTTGGCAGAGGAAGATCACATTTTGAAGCCCTAGGGTCAAAGTTGTGTTGACAGTCTCAGGACAATCTTCCCAATAATTATAAAACCCTAAAATTGCTCTCCAGGTTTATTGACCTCCAACTTTGTTGGGACTGCAACTTTCAGAATTCTCAACTAGCTTGTCCCAAAAGCTGAGTGACAATTTGGGGAATTGCAGCCCCACCCAAGTGGTAGAAGGCTGCCTGAGAGTAGCCAGGATGAGACTGCCATCACGCCACCTGTTCCTAAGTTGGGTCAAACAATTCTGATAGCCAGTAGAGTCGCATGGCATCCTGTTAATTTGGAGGTCCGAGAATTGTGGATCTCTGGAGGGATTTTATAGCAAGCTTTCCTGCCCAGATGCCTTTGCTGTTTTCTTTTGTGATTGCTTCTGCTCTTCCTTCCGGCAGTGGTTGCTGAATGTCGGAAACGCCTGCTTCAGGCTGGTTTCCAAGAACTGAAAGAAACTGAACACTGGGATATCAAGCCTGACAGAAAGGTGCGGAGAAGGGTGGCATAATGACTTTTGTGTACCTTGCTTTGATTTATAGTTGTGTTGACTTTCACAGTAAAGGAGGGTGGGGTGGAAGTACCTCCAGCTAACTTCCCTGAGGGACAAAGCAAAATATTGATGTCGCCATCTCTTTCTGTACTCTTTTTTTTTCCCCTCAGTATTTTGTGACCCGAAATATTTCAACGTTGGTTGCTTTTGCTGTGGGAGGACAATTCCAGCCAGGTAATGGCTTCACAATTGTTGGAGCTCACACTGACAGTCCCTGTCTACGGGTAAGCAATGATGTAATCCTTGTCTGACATTTTTTGCTCTTGGCTGGATCTCCCCCCACCCGTTTCTACTGATTGTCTTAATTTTCCCTGCTATCACATTCCTCTGATTGTGCTTCAATCAGTACAGCTTCATCTTCTTTTCCTCTTCACAGCTACAATTTTCTGTATGGTGGCACTATTTCTGATACTTGTTGGAAGGATTTCTGGTTTGGTACTTAGACCCCCTTTCTTTTGAAAATGACATTAAGATGCCACATAGTAATTGAACATGGCTCTTGGGAGAGACTTGAGATTGTGGTTGTGTCTCTTCTAGGTGAAACGGTCTTCAACATGTAACCAGGAAGGTACAGTCCAGGTGGCCGTGGAAACATATGGAGGTGGTATCTGGAATACCTGGTTTGATCGTGACCTCTCTGTGGCTGGAAGAGTAATTTTTAAGGTCAGTCCTGCCTGAATTACTCTCCTTCTGCATTCTTAGATTTGTACAATTGCAAAAGAACTTTCTGTCTCCATCCGGTATTATAAGGATGTCACATAAAGATCTACTCTTGTATTGCCTCAATGTGTGGCAACAGCTGTAGTGGATTTCCTCCCATGGATCCCAAGAAAACAACAAAAAAGAGATATCCCACAGGAAAAAGTTAATTTTCCTATCTAAGGTGCCTTGAGAAAGTATAGGTTAACTTAAGTAATCTGATTTACCGAACTAGAAACAACTGCTCATGATTTTTAGTTAACTTTTGGCAGTTGCTTTGTGAAACAGTCACTGTTCTCTCAGAATGAAGTTGATGGAGGATTAAATGCAAATGTGTATAAATGTGTGTTGGCGTATAATCCTCCATCCAAATGTCAATGTTTGTGTTGTAAAATAGATTTTCAGAGCTTTATTGTGTAGAAAACCTGTTTTATATTCATTTCTTGATTGGAAATAGAAACATTAATATTACAGAGAGAGTCCATAAGGCCATATGTATGGTACAAAGCCTGATTTTAATATTGTTTGAATGGAACTAAAAACCAAAAATGACTAATACATTCAAAATCTGATGTTGCTTCTTATTGGAGATGCAGATTTGTCCACCTCCACCTGAGCACAGAGCTTCCAAACAAAGCCATTTGTTTTTGTATCGAATTGTGTTATTAAGACATGCTGGTACAAGAGGAGAGATATAGGTGTGATTACGGTACTAATGTACTGAAACATGTTATTTGCATATGTTCAGAAAAGTTAATGTTCTCTTCATTTAATATGCCTAGAAACAAAAATTGCTGCTATTGCAATTTGGAGTATGCCAACAAGTGACAGAAATTAAAATATGTCCGTTCATTTTCTGTCTGTATAGGATGAGAAAATTGTTCTTAAGTTATATTAAATTGGGTGCCAGATACCTTTTTTCCTTTTGTCTTTAAAAAAATTATGTTGTTGCCCATTTTTAAACTTTAAAAAGAGTCTTTTTAAAGGGGTGCTCTGCATACCTAATAAATAGATATTAACTTTAGGGAAAGGTGCCCCTCGCACATAAGTGCTAGTCATTCCCGACTCTAGGGGGCAATGTGTATCTCCGTTTCAAACCCGAAGAGCCAGCGCTGTCTGAAGACATCTCCATGGTCATGTGGCCGGCATGACTAAATGCCGCAGGCATACAGAACGCTGTTACCTTCCCACCAAAGGTGGTTCCTATTTTTCTACTTGCATTTTTACATGCTTTCGAACTGCTAGGTTGGCAGAAGCTGGGAGAAGTAATGGGAGCGTTACACAATGCTAGGGATTCAAACCGTCGAACTGTCGACCTTTCTGATTGACAAGCCTCAGTGTCTTAGCTACTGAGCAACTGAATCCTAGGCCACTGTGTATCAACTTTAGATAGGTACATTTGTGTATAAAAACTTGCAAGACTGCTGTAGGTATCAGGTTTAGTTTTGAAACCACTGTGTGACATCAACAAAACCTCTTAAGGATTCTCTGGGAATTCATTAAAACTAAGGATTTAAACTGAAAGTTTAAAGTATTTGCCTTTTAGTGTCCTCTCTCTAACTTGCTTCCCATTTTAAGTTTCCAAAATTAGGTTTCCCGTGTTACTCAGATGAGCAAAGTATATATTCTGCCATGAAAAATACTCCTCTGGTGTCAAATGTTGCTTGGGTTTCAAAACTCAAGAGGAAAAAGAGAAGAAAATCTTTTTACCGCATCTTAAAAATAATTTCAGCAAGGCTGTGTTTGATTGCTCTTGGAGGAATGATGGGAAATTAATTTTATCTATTTAGGTTTGAAAAAATAGTACAGGAAATTGCACGTTGCATCTGATAATAAATAGGGAAAATAAAATTGCAGCTAGAACCAGTTTTTTATAAACAGACTACTTTTGAGAAGATTTGCACACAGTGGTAATTTTCCCAGATTATGAAATGAGTTTGCCTTTATTCACATAGGTTTCTTGTTCTCATGTTTTTAAGAACATCTGAAAATACATTCCAAATTTATGCCTAGGGATATGCAGTGCTTTGGATTGGAAACAGAAGGGAACATGAAAGTGCATATTGTGCATAAGCTTCCATGTCCCTTCCAAAACACTTGTTTTCTGTTTCAGATTTAAACTGCTGCACACCAATGCAATGCACTAGGAGGAGAGGAGATTACAGCAATTGGCAAAGATGCATTCACTTGACCCTCTTGATTTATGGTTTCTCAAGTACATGCTGGGTTTTTATTTCTTTAGGTCTGCTGTGTGAAAAGGGGACTCTTGAAAACTTTAGGATTTCAATATGTATAAAGATATGGAGACACATAGAAAATACTGAATCAAGCCTTTTGGCCTTCAAGTTTAGTAGAAACAAACATACCAAGAGTTTGCTTATGCGGCAGGTTTATGCATCACATTATTTGAATATATAGTATAAATTAGGAATAATGATTGCATTTGTACTAGAGGTGGGTTGCTCCTGGTTCAGCCCGGTTCGGCCGAACCAGTAGTGGAATTCAGGCCTGGGTCGCAGAACCGGCAGCCTGCCACGCTCCTGAACCTGTTCCCTCGCCACCACTGGGCCGCCGCCATTTTGGATTTTAGTGACTTCGTGTGCGCAGTTCACTGTAAATTGTTCTATGTATGTGCAAAGAACAATTTACATTGAACAGCACACGCACGGGTGTGCGAATCGGTAGTGAAACCGGCAGCAACCCACCTCTCATTTGTATAATATGCAATCGCTTGGGACCAGCTAACCTGAGGGATTGCCTTTTTCCAAGCATCTGTAGCCATCCCAATTCAGTCTAGCAGAATGGGCATGCTGCAGATCCCGTCAGCCGAAGGGGACGAGATGGGCTTTTTCTGCTGTGGTGCCCTATGGAACATCTTTCCTTTGGAGATTAGAATGGCCATAACCCCGGTTGCCTTTCACAAAGCCCTAAAACCTGGCCATATTCTAAATCCGGGGTGCTGAATGTGTCAGGAGCCCC